TTTTGAGGCCCGCAATGACAATTCATTTGTTAAAACTTTGAGGTTCTAGATTTCTTTTTAAAATCCTGAAGAGTGTTTTTGTTTTTTGTATTTTGTTTTTTTTGTTTTTTGTTTTTCTGCACAGAAAGGTCCACCTAACTTCTTAAACAATACAACCATTAATAAAAAGTTATATTGCTTTTAAACTAGTACGTAAAATAGTATATATTACAAAGCCTGGGTTTTCTCAAGCGTTTAATTTCTGCCTATAAATCTTCTTTGCATAAGCCTAGCAAATTTGCAACAATTTTGTGGGGAGACTTTGGCTAATATTTTGGTCCCATTTGCAGAAGTTTTTAAAACATATTCAAACATTTAAAACTGAATTTATCAATTGAGAATGCAATGTTTCATATTTAAGTTTCTCAACTATCTGACAAACTTTCCTGAGTATTTTTGTACAATAATCCTTATAAATTAGACTTACCAATTTTTCTTAAAAGTCTAAACTGAATGTAGAGCTAGTTAGACATGAACTGGAGTTGCAACTGTAAATCAATTACACATGCAACATGTTCAATTCAAAGTACAAATTTACCTGTAACTCTAATAGTTCCAATTCTCAAAGCCAGCTTTGTGGGCTGATGGTGAAGGTAGCAAGATCCCACAAATTCCACATGGTTACTTGTGGTTGGAGTCCCTCCCAGGTACTTTGAGAAGCACACCAAGCACCTGTGTGAACATGCCCAAATTTCCAAGAGGATGGATAAATGACAGAGGAGGGATTGTGGAATGACCATTCCCCTTAGGTGGATGCTTTCTTCCTCTTACTCTCTGGCTTTCTGTTTCTGGCAAGCACATGTGCTGTCTGGCAAAATTTAAAAAAAAAAAAAGACTAAAAAGACTATTAGACTGGGACCAGCAGTTAGCATAATGCTTATGTCGCTGGACTCCCATGTAGTCGACTGCAGTTCAAGTTCCAGACCCAGTGGCTTGAACTCATGCCGGACGCATGTGCATGCGTGCCCAAGATCTCCAGAGGAGCATGGAGGAGAAGGGATTGCAGTGTGGCCATCCCCCCTAGGGGGTGATTTCTCGCTTTCTGTCTCTCTGTCTCTGTCTTTCTGGCAAACACACACGCCTTATAGCAAAAGCCTCTCGGAAAAAAAAAAAAGACCATTAGACCAATTCTCTTAAATGCTATAATAATTAAAGTATAAAATATATTCAGATCCCTTAATACTTCATACCAGTAATAAGTATTTAATTTTCTTAAATGTTTCTATACTTATTTCTAAATTTTTCTCAAGTTAGAACTTTCTTCTTCATTTAGAAAAATAGGGCTGTCCCACAGCCTAGTGACTGGGGGAGCCAGGTTACAAATGGACTGCCATAGTTTGAACCCCAGTCCTGGAGGCTTGAAAAAACACATCAGGCTCCTGTGTGAGCAAACCCCAAATCTGAGCAAGATAGAGAAATGGAGGAGAAGGGATTGTGGCATGACCATGCCCCACTAAGGGGTGCTTTTTCCCTCTCTGTCTCTTTTTCTGGCAAGCACACGTGCCTTCTCGGGTGGGGGGGAAGAAAGAAAGAAAAAGAAAAAAAGGAGAAGGAATAAAGAAAATGAAAAAGAAAGAAGTATATATTAAGTATAGCTTAAGTGTTATCTTTCTGAAAGAATGGCCTCAGCTTGCTGAGATTTCTTAAATAACCAGAGGATATCATCAAATTTGTTGGTTTGCAATCTTGATAGGAAATGAAGAGTGCTTTTTATAGTAGCTGTATCAACAACCCCAAAAAATCAAAAAAGGTATTCACATATTTTGGTTTTGAATCATATCAATTTCTAATTTTTAAGTCAGTTGAGAGTTTGCAACCACACTCAAACTGACTATACAATATTCAACTTTCATATCTTTTACTCATAAATTATACATGCCTTCTAGTCTAAACCTTAAATTTTTTAAAATAATTTTGAAAAACCTTTTTTAAAAAAATTATAGAGAACTTCGAATAAACATAAAATTCCAATTATCCTGTTCCAATTTTTTAGTTTTAATGACCATCAACAAATGGCTAATCTTATCCCATTCTCACACTTACTACTTCCTCCTCCTGCTTATTGCGAAGCAAATCCTGGATGTCTGTTCTAGTCCACTGTGTTGTTAATAACACATATCCTAATCTGTGCAATTTATAAAATTCATTCAGGTCACAGTTTGGAGGTCTTATGTGCAGGAGACACATCTCATGAGCAGGTCCTTGCTAGTAGAGTTCTGAGGTGGTGCAGGGCAACATGTGGCAGGGCAGAGCAAGAATATGCGTGTACTGTCTCCTTCCCTCAGCTGATAAACCCATAAGTATTTGATCATGGGAGACTCAGCCTTATCCTTATCTCTCAAGGCCCCACCTTTCAACACTATAGGCAGATTCAGTTTTCACCTTCTTAATCCCATCACAACTAAATCTCAATATATAAATTTCGGAAAGACTCATTCAAGACAAGCATTAACATATCCTTTTGTCTGCAACTAAAACAATGAGGAATTTTTTTAAACATCTAGGTATGGTATCATTACCACAAGAAAACTGTCAAGAAAATTGACAATAATTCTTTAATATAATCAAATACCTAGGGTTTGGATTTCCAATTCTTTTAGGAATGCAATGAAATTCATGGAATAGTTTGTGTGACCCATGATCTGAAAAAAATCTGCACTTGTAGTGCTTAATGTGTTTTGCAAATCTTTTTTGAATAAAAGAACCTCCTCTGACTGCCTTTTCTTGTTTTTAATTATTGAAGAAAAGAAAAAGGATATTAGAATTTCTCTAATTTTGGATTTGTGCTGATTGCATCACTATTGTGTAGATTTACATGTTCTTCTATCTCTATTTCCGGTAAACTAGTTTTGGGTAAGGCTGGTTTACAGATAGTGTGCTCATCCAAATGGAGGAACATGCTACCTACCTCTCTCTTTTTTCTCTCTTTTTGTTATTAGAAGCCAGTGATGCCCAGTGCCTAGATTCATTCATTCTGCTGTGGAAAGTAAAAAAAACAAAAAAACAAAAAAACAAAAAAAACTTTACCTATTACATAAAGAAAGAGCAATACACTTCTTATAAAAGAGGCAAGACAAACCCTTTGCTTGTTTCTCATTTGCTAATTTTTAAATATAGAGTTGGTACGGTAGGATCCTCCAATATTGACTAATTTCAGTTTTCTTTTCAATACGAATGTAAAGACTGTAGAACAAAAGAGACACATAGTCCTGATTTCAGATGGTTTGTTCTCCAGTGAAAAAGCATTATTCCCAGCTTGAAAGGGAATTCACTAGTTCATGCTTTCAAAGCTCTAATTTTTGAGGTCAGTGAACAGAAGACATTAAGGGAAGGCACTCTTAACAAAGTTTAGTATCCATTGCGCTAGAAAAAGAAAACTATTATCTATTTAAGATTGTGTTTAGGGAAAAATAACAGATTTTTAAAGTTTACTTATTTCTCCCATGAACAACAGAGACAGAAAGAGAAAGAAAGAAAGAAAGAAAGAGAGAGAGAGAGAGAGAGATGAGACTGCCAACAAGAGTCTTGTTACCACTTTCCATCCCTGCCTTCAGCCAGCCCCAGATCATGGGCAAGCATGGATCCAACATAGTCAGGGAGATCTCTGGACTTGAGTCAGGAAACTTCCCATGTGGGTTGCCTCACAGAGCATCATGTTTTACTACCACATTACCTTCTGGCCCCCTAAATTAACAATTTTATCAGCGATTTTGATGATTGATTTGATTATTGGCATTTTAATTTTATTATACATACTAACTAAATCTTACATTAATAATATTATTACTCCCATTTTACAGAAGAAGGTTTTGAAGCACAGTGTAGTTAAGTGATATGGTCACTATCATTCAACAGATAACTGGAGGAGTCGAGATTCAAATTCTAAGCCTGTTTCCCTAACAACAACATATTTTTTTTTGCTGTTGAAACTTGCTTTCATATAGGAATCTCAAATATGACATAACTTAGTTCTGTTTTGAATAACAAGACCTTTAAAATCTCAGTATAGCATTAAAAAAAGAAATAAGGAAATGAATTCATAAGCACCAAATACTAGACTAATCAAAGATATTACATGATCTCATTTAGAAATGAAATACAGAGCTTTAGAACATACAGCACAAAAGCTTTAAGATTATTCTGAACTTAAAGACAGTTGAAACCAATATGGTAGGTTGAAAAGTTTAGTTAGAATTAAATACACCTAGAAAAAAGTCAGCCTCAACCATGTACCAGAAGTGCATCCTTGGCATTTACAATCATCCCTTAAACCTGGTTTCTTTCTCTGTAAAGTGGGATAAATACTATTAGTCTCTTTGTTCAATTAGTAGAATTCCTAGATGGGATCTTGTAGACATTCAATAAATGGTACATTCTCATCCTTTAATTCGCTGAGGATTTTAATGTTTTCTTTATTTCATATATTTTTTAGTTAACTGCTGGAATTGGTCCTTGAATGTAAGCTTTGTTTCTTTTAACTAAAGAATAATTATTTTTGTCATTTTAAGCTGGGCCAATATTACATTATATGGGCTTATATTTCTACTGAGTCCTCTAGGAAATAGGTAGGGAAAAAAGTACTAGATCACATCTTTCCTTTGATGACAATTTGTACTATACCTTCACGGAAATGAAAAGACTCTATGAGAGGTTTTTTTTTT